TTTTTTTTTCTTCACAAATAAATCATTCGGGAATTCTCCTAAACTTTTTGTACTCCTAAAAATCTCTCAGTAAAATTAAAAAACTTTTGATAAAAATTCTATTAAATTCTACAATACTAAACACTAAGCTAATGTAGTTTTTCATTATAGATTATTTATTCAACTAGATAGTAATCCTTTATTAATTGTTCGCGTGATAAATCGAACTCAAGCAAAATAACAGTAATAATATCATAAATGTCATAAGTTATAATTTACGACGCAATAACGTAATATAACATATAACAGTTACACTGTTAAATGAAAAATTATAATTGAAATGAAAATTTCGCTGTAACAACAAAAAATTGATTAAAATGTACTTAGAAGGATTTGAAAAATGTACATTATAAAACTATTTTATACGAAATAAATTGTTTAAATTTTGAATGATATAAATTAATATTTTTGTTATTTTTTCCTGAAGCAGAAAAATGTATTTTGTAGAAGTAATTAAATTCTTTGTTATACATATAAACAAAATATTTTATTATTCTTTAAAAATGCTTTATTTATTTGCCTAAATAATTTCATTAAAAGTACTAAATTTTTCTTTCTTTTAATGATACATTAAAATAAATCGTAAATGATTGAAAAGTGACTTTTAATAATTATTTTGGAACCATTTTGATATCATTTTAATGTTATACACTGAGAAAAATTTTTAGTTGAAAATATATGAATAAAAAAATTCTGATCATATCAATCAGAATTTTGGTTGCCTCAATTAGAATTATAATAAACTTAACTAGAAAATTTTAATACCCATCTACAATTCCAATTAATGTGATCAGGTTCTTTCCAATGTGATGATTTGTGTTCTGTATTTCGTTGAAATATATGCTTTGTGAATCATGCGTGTCGATAGAATTCCAATAAAGTGCTTTCATTTATTGGCAATCAACGATCTATCGATTCAATAATCATGGATCGCGCATTTTTGCAGCATCCGTGATGCAATGATCGATCAATCCGGCAAAACGAGACACACGGCCGGAGCGACCTGATCGGATCTGTATTACCGCAACGTTTGTCATAGCCACATAGCTGCACATCTCGAGCCTCGCTCGTATTATTGCTACATGGGCGATAATAAATCGTCGATTTAGCAAGCGGCGTTCTCTTTGAGCAATCGGTGAGAGCAACGTTGTAGGTGTCGTCGGGATCGTTTCGTGAAGTTCGCACACGCACGATGAACGATGGAGATTCCTCTCCGTGTGATTTGTCATACGCGCGCGCTAATTGGACTACTGATGATCCACCGGTGAAACGCCGGTCGTTGATAGCAATTGTCTGTTTACAAATAACACATCTTACGAGAACTGATTGCCAGCCGGAATTATAAGCGCAATTTGCAAATGAGGCTGTGGAGAATTTACGAAACTCTCGACGATACATTGATCTAATCCTTCAAGTCACTTAATTGATGTCTTTGTAAATATATATGTAGTTAATGGAAACAAGAATCTTTGATTAGTGAGTATTACAAGGGATTAATAAAATAATATAAACGTTTAAGAAATATATTGCGTATTTGTTTTATTAATAAGAAATTGACCTATTTATCTTTAATATAGATTTTATTCTTGTTGGAATAGAATGTTTGAATAATGTAGAAACTATTGCAATATTACACTAATTTTTATTACTTCCTGTTGTTGTATATTATTATCTGTTATACAGAATAATAAATAACAGGAAATAATATTTCTTGTTATTTCCCGTTCTAGATTATTATATATAAATAATAATTATTACTTTTCTATTATAGAATAATAGGAAAGTAATTGATATTATTTTCCTGTTATTCTTCTAATAAAATATCTTGTAATTGTTTGAAAGATGAAGGAAGAAATCTGTATCTTATTCTGCTTTTTAAAACCACAAATACTGGAATCAAGTGATTAAATTGATCAGAAAAATTAAAATTTAAAAAAAGAACAGAGGATAATATTTTGGAAAATAGAGTGAGAAGAATGTTTTATTAATAAAATGTTTTATTAATAAAAGATTGACCTTTCATTTTTTTTTAGTACACATTCTGTCCTTGTTGAAATAATCATATAATGTTTGAGTTGTTATCATCGATATTATTAGATACTCATATTAGAGAAGAAAATTTTCTTTTGTAATATTATAAGCAATTGAAAGACGTTCTTTTGAAAAAAATAACAACATTCCATTAGTAATAATAAGAATCTTATTTTAGACCGTACATGTAATACAAATTAGTAATTAAATGCCTATACCAGTCGAAGCTGGATCTTTATTCTATTACTAGCAACTTATACATGGTGTAATTATTTTATTGTATTAAAAACAAAAATTGTATTAAAAACAAAAAAAAGGACCAACCTCTCAACCTTAATAAAACAAGTAATAATATAAATATTATAGCGAGGACGAAAAGTTCATGTTATTCTGTATTTAATAACATAAGTAAATTTTTTGCGTACATCTTTTCCAATACATTAATTTATGTCCCCATATTGATATATTACGCTTAATATATTTGATATATGATATTTGGCTTCTAACAATAATTATTAGAAAACATTAACTAAATAAAAAAATGATTCACTCATGATTTATTATATCGCTTATTAATCATCTTATTAGTCATCAATCTCTTTCCGACAGCGATCGCGCGAATCTTTTTTCGTCAATGAGCGAGCATTATACATTCCAATAGGATTCTCTTTTCATCATTTTGTTCCGCGTGTGCTATTAAGTTATTATACTTTGATCGCGTGTCGCAACACTTCCAGCTATAGAAACGGGCAATGAAACGGAACCCAAATTACGAATTCCCACTATTAAAAATTATTGATTATATTATACGTTGCGTCATCTCGCGTTTAGGGCAACGAGCTGTACCTGCTGTGCTTATGCGAGTTAAGATCGCAGCGCGGAAAAGAAGTAGGGATTCCAGCTAAGATAATCGCGTGCGAATGCACGAGATGCAGTTAGCTATGAAAAGCGTATCTCTCGTATAACGAACACAAGATAGACGTTTCAGACGTAAAAAAAAAAAAAAAAAATACCGGACTTCTTCAGCTCCATGTTTCCCTCTTATACTTTCTTCGGTGAACTTTCCTTTCTTCTTCGCATTCAATCGATCATTCCTTTATAGTTAATGGTCTTCCTTATGTGCTAAATATGGGATGCTTGAATAAGCATGTTGTGCACGCAAAGATTTTTCTCTCAGTGTTATAAACTGGCGTAACATTTATATGTATTTTTTAAGTTACAACTGCATCAAGTCGAAACTGCATCAAGAAGCGTTGACGTACTGAGAGACGTGTTTGTCAGATATTTTATACTTTCAGCTTCACTCACCTTCGTCTTTTAGGACTGCTTGAAATCGCACGTCGCCGTGAAACGATCTACACGTACATCATCGACGATACCGTCATTTTCACTCCTTCGTATATGGGCAGATTGTGTCCTTGGCCTAGAAATCATGGTCACTCCCAGTATATGGATTATAGCGAAACGTATTCCGAACAAATTGCTTCTCGAATATCGCCTGGATATCCCAGATCGACCGACATTCATACACATCTCAGAATTTGTTTCGTATAATAAAATTTTTTGTACTATCTCAAACTCATTTTTCTATAGAAAAATTCTCGATTGTTCAATCACATCAAAAAGTGAATTTTTCTTTATTTTTTGAAATTATTCTTTATTTTTTTTTCTAATTATTAGGACTAAAAAAAAATTAAAAAAAAATTAAACTTTAAAAATTAAAGATTAAAGTCAACTACATTGGTAGAAACAGCCTTAGCTAATATAAGACTTTGTTAATTTACATTATTAATTGTCCTAAATTGAATTGAACTCATTCTTCCAAATATTGTATTTAATTTTGAAATAAAATCGATCCTCTCGTTGATGCCAATTTAGAACGACAGATATTAACGACAGTGTGATCCGTTTGTATCCTTCGTCGATTTAGTTATCTAGTTTCTAGTCGACAAGTGGGCTTCTCGGGTGAAGCTGAGCGTGTAACGAATAACAAGCAAGCAATTTTCGATCGCACGTTCTCTGCTTACTGATGGTCCTCATTGAACTTACTTTTCGGAGAAAGGACTTAGAGAAGTGACGTGATGATTTTCGAAACTTCACTTAGATTGCTTGCGAAACAAATAGCTCATCCTGTATTTATTATGTACTTATTTTTATTGTATACTTATAAATGCCAACATTCCATTAGCTTATTTAATATATAATTTCTCTATGTGCAAAATATGATTTTATGAAAAAGTTTCATGCGAAATGTCAAAAAAACCTTCGATCTTTCAAGATACAATATTACTCGCGTGAAAAATACTCTCTTAGAAAAATACACAATTATCGCATATTTCTACATCTTGTTAAATTCAGAGCTTATTCGATATTCCCAATTTTACGATATCTCCGTTTCAAACGAACAGACTAAACGTGCAGCGTTCTCGTACAGAATATTTGATGTGTTATCCATCCAAATCGTTCCAGTCGGATCATTTGCACGAGAGTTCACGTGCTGCTCGAAAGCTCGTGCGCAATGCTACGTTACTCTCGCTGATCTCCTCGAAGCCAGATGATACCAAGGCCAGACGGCGCGAGATTTCTCGCAATGAGAACTCGCGAAGAAAAGAGCGAGAGAATGATCGAAACAAAAAAAGGGCCCCCTCGTTAACAGAACCTGACCAGGGTCAATCGCGAGCGAGACATCCCATTGCCTGATCCTTCAGAAACCCATCCTTCAGTCCCCACCGTATACAATTCCTGACGAGGCCCCTCCAAGATAGTCTCGTCTCTTTACGTCCCCCCCTCGTCGGCATTTGCCTCCCACGTTCTCCGTGGAGTCTCACCTGGTCGGTAGCATCCTCTTGCACTCCCGACGAGGACTTTCTCCGAAAGACGGCCAACTATATAAGCGAGATGCACGCTGTTTGAAGCACGTTAGACGAAATCGCACGGGTGCGTCGAGCAGGCCACGTCGAGCCGCCGCGCCCCGATTGCATCTATATTTTTCCATTCGTAAGTTCACCCCGCATATACGCGACGGTAGCTTGGAAGAGAAAGAGGGAGAGACAGCACTTTCGTTCGTACGAAACGGAAATTCGTGCATGTGACTCGGCGCCGAGGAACGCCACAGAGACCTCCACGAGACTTCGATCGCCGGGGACCATGAGGCCCGCGAGAAGCTGGGCCCCGTTGGCAGTGACCGCGCTGGTCGCGACGGCTCTACTGCTGAGGCCCATTCACGCCGACGGTAAGATCTGAGAAGAGTCCTCACGTCCATTGTTATCTATTTAAAGTTATCCCTTTAAATTCCCTTAGGAATGTTCCCTGTTCTTTTTGATTGAATTTTTGCACTAGTTTATCTATCTTCCTTTTCTCTCCAGCAAGAAAGAAGAGGAAGAAAGATGAACTGCAAAAGTTCAGCCAAAATAAACAGGCTTCTTGATTCTTGAAATTCCCAACATTTCTGAGGAACGTCCTAAAAACATCCAGAGGATGTCTCCACACTGAAAACAATTATGTCATATCAACGACATTATTTTGAAAATTGAAAATAATTTTATTACAATTTATATAATAACACTAATGAAACAAATACGTCATGCTCTTGTTTTAATAAAATTTTATTTATTTCATTAATACTATTGTTAAATCAATGAAATTATTTTCAAAATAATGCTGTTGATGCGTTTTTTTTTCAGTATACTTTGAATGTTTTAAGAATGTTCTCAGGATGTTTCTCGAATATGTTGTATGGGTTATTCTTCGGGTTTTTAAATTTGGAACTTAAACTTGACTTATGCGAATTTTTACCGGTGATGAGAAAAAACGATATGCATTATTGTGATATGCAGAGTAGAGGAATGCAATTGAACATGGAATTAATCTTATACGAAGAAAAGCTTTCGGAGTCTGTTAATCTTTTATGAGATGGGACAGTTCTTGTATTAAGATGAAGAGAGATCTTATGAATATCTAATTATTCTTTCATAGAATGAAACAGAAAGAGAAGAAAAAGAAACATGAGACGACCATATTAATTTTTCGCGAGAGTAAAAGTAGTCTTAAGAAAATCGCGTGTCGGAATTCTGCGTCGGAAAGCGAGATAAATTAATGACTTTGAGGGAAAGAATGTTTTTATAATATTAAAGTTGTTCGCTTCACGTTAGCCTTCTAGCTCCTCTTTCTCACGCATTTTATAATAGCTTATTAAATTCATTGTAATAAAAAAAAGGAGCCATTAAGGTAAAATCTCTCGTCGCTGGCGCACAAGCTTTCAAGTAAGGTCTTCAGTAGAATACAACTTAGAAGGGGATGCGTTATAAGAAACGTACTGTATGTCAATATAAATAGTAATTTCACGGTTAAAGTACGTATTACGTAGCGAGCGCGCGACGTAACATTTTTACCTTAATGAATGTCGCCACGATGGATCTGTAATTTGTCAGCTTGTCGGAAAACTTATTAGAAAGTCCACTGTTGTCCCGCAACGCGTTGTAATATGTGAGTAAAAAATGGAGTTTGCGCGACGATTTGGCAGTTTTCACTTTTAGTTATTAAACACATTGAATCAGATTTTTCATTAAGATTATAATCAGCTCTCTGAATTTAAATATAAGTAAAAAGAATGCTGTTAAAAATTAATTTCTTCTCGATATATTCCCTGCCACTTTAAATCGACATAACGAAATGCTTAATCAAGAGATAAAAAAAAAAAAATTAAAACGTAGTTGATTAAGCGTTAAATCTTGATAATCAAATTCTCTGTATTTTCAAGCGTAAACATGTTATAAGTCTTTTATTATATACCTGCTTTAAGTTCTGATTAAAACGTTTCATTTTTTATCTCTCGAATTAATTTATATTTCCGATTAGGTTCAAGCGTGCCTGTAGGCATATTATTTTAGTTTCATCACACGCCATCGGTTAATTATAGGAAAATCTTTAATAACTAGCATTTTCGTCATTCAAGCAATCATATGTTTTTACATTATGGATTATCTTAATTTATTCATCGGACATTTTTTTTAAGTTTACTCGATCATTCGAGCGTTTTTCTTTCCCTCGAATAATGCAGGCGATTTTGTGAAATTGGGACGCTTGAAAAAACAGAAGCCGTGTGCACCGGGCTTGAAATAGTCAAGTATTAGAGAGAGACGCGAACTATCGGACGGAGCATCTCTCAGCAAATTGCGCATGGCGTGTTGGGATCGTTGTATAAATCAGAACATTATCAGGTGCGATCTAGCGTAATCTAACTTGCGCGAGCGTGCAAAACCGAAACTTCACCGCGATTGTTCTGATTTCGATTTTAACACGTGTAAACGTCACGCGCCCACACGCGAGTCATTGTTTAAATGCCGCGCGTGCGTCGGAGATTATTGCGGTGTTTTGTGGGAAAATGTTAACAAATTAGTTTCTTAAAATGAAACAATTGATAAAGCGGATTTTAGTTTTTATTTCGTTATATTATTTTGTCACGCTTTTTATTTACGTCCACCTATGTTCTATTTTAAAACTTTATTTTATTTGATTTTTTACCGCGCGCCTCTCGTTTCGATTCATTTTATTTTACTCCATTCAATTTTTATATGTCGCAAACTGAACGTAATTGTTTTCTATTTGTTGTCTCTTTAGCTTTGATCAAGTTTTCAGCCGTATGAATTATTTGTCTCTTTTAAATCGAAGCGAAATCTTTACTAATTCCTTTTTTAAATCTCGAGAGATTAAATTGAAGGAATTAAATATCCATTTAACTCTTCATGGTCATATGAAATCAAATTGACCCCAAAAAAAATTTTGATGTTCTATATCTTTAATTAATATAATATAAATGTATTTCTGGTTAATGTAATAATCAATCCTTCATGCGATAATATTTCACACTTCTTTTTTTCAAAACTTAAAATGGCTTCTTTTTTATTTCCCAGAATAAGTTTTTTTTTTGGAATGCCAATTATGTTTTTTCTGAAAGTCTCATATCTCTGATAAATAACCACAAATTTTTATCAAAAAGAATAAGAAATTTAAAAAAGTTATAATCTCTTTAGTAAAAAGACTAATTTTTCAAAAATTCTCATTTCCACAATTATTTAATAAATAATTATAAATAATATATAATGTGTTCATTTCAAATTATTTAAAATTAAAATCTTTGTAGAGCTGTATTTCTAGATTCTAAAATATTTAAAGTATACTTAGTAATTTTTTTATTTCAAAGAACAAAAATACGCGGCAAAAATGCATTGAAATTATTTCAACCCGGTGGCTATTACACTCTAAAAACTATCAGCATGGATTCAACATTATGCAATATCTACTTATAATTCTCATTATGTTAATATAACACCAACATAACATGGATTTAACATGGGTTTTAAATTCACATCATAATGATGTTAATATAAATACAAAAGGTTATAAATTCACACATGGCATTAACACCAAGACGATAAGAATTATACACTGTGATGGTGGTATTAAAGGTATGTTAGATCCCACTGATCTTTTTGAAGGTGTACGGAACTTTCAAGAGATTAGGTAGGAGAACAGATAGGAGAATAGCGAATCGCTGATCCGGGATTAATTGATTCGCCAGGTTTCAGCAGATGATTGTCGACCGGTCGTAAATGATACTAGCGATGAATCGCTTCTTCAACTGTCGCGATGGAGCATCACGCTCGCGCGATAAATCAATCGGACGTGCTGTTCGCGTTCTGGCGCATCAGCCGCGATGAAAGCGAGCGTGACTCAATTGACGCGTTAATGCTTAAACAAACAAAAAAAGAACACTGTTATTGTGAAAATCCGCGTTGGTGTTTCGACTGTACGACACAAAGCGTAATGACTGTCTTACGACGACTCCGCTGATGATGATAGCGCGGAGCAGATCAAATCCCGCGATAAGAAATCGTCACGGTCTGATTACGACTTCCGTGACTAAGTCGGTTTAGAATACTATCGCGAACATAATTCCCTGACTTGGTTGCGAATTTTCCTTTTCTATAATGTAGACATTGTTTTCTTAAAATGAAGGAAATTTTAGTCTTTTTTATTTCCTGTAAATTGTTGTAATATGAATTTAGATTGGTGAGAATATCTAATTAAATAAATGATATTTTATTTATTTAATTAAATTTCTGTAAATTGTTTTGATTTTTGTACTCAGTTTAGTTTTAAATTTCAAGTTATTAAACAGAATTAAGTTTTTAACAATATTTGTTTGATTGTTAAAACATTGTTAAGCAGAATTAAAATCTCTTGATGTTCAATTACAAAGACTTAGATAGCTGTATAAATTCCTATGGGAAGAGAAAACGAAGTTTTAGAATTTCTACTTTGTATTATGTTAACTTCCAATCTTGATTGCTAGGAAGCCGCATAAATGCTATTGCCGACTTATCATCTCGTCTAATAACGTTACCGCAAACAATAAACGTTCTTCATTGGTGGTAATTTTAAGATGTAATAAAAAGTCACTAGCAATGTGAGAAAGCATAAGTTACTGAGAGAGCAGTCAAATTAATTATAGTAATTTTTAAGATTACAGATTAAATACTATTTTTCGAAATATAAGATTAATCAAAATGCAATAAAATTTTCTGCGACAACCAATATATAATTTACATCTCTCTTGTCTCTAAAATATTCCTTAAAATATATTCCTTAAAATAAAATTTCCTAAAGAATAAAATAAAATTTTTAAAAAATAACATTTTAGATCTTGGAATTATTTTCCAGCGCCTATCTCAGGCAACTATCTACCACCGTCAACCAGTTACGGCACACCTAATCTAGGAGGTGGCGGCGGTGGAAGTTATTCCGGCGGCGGCGGTGGAGGAATATCGACGAGCTATGGTGCACCTTCAGGTGGCGGCGGTGGTGGCGGCGGCGGCGGCGGCGGCGGCGGTGGTGGCTACGGAGGTGGTCGACCTTCCTCGACATACGGAGCACCCAGTGGAGGTGGTGGTGGCGGTGGAGCACCATCCTCTAGCTATGGTGCACCTCCGTCCTCCAGCTATGGTGCACCACCGTCCTCGAGTTATGGAGCACCGTCCAGCGGCGGCGGCGGCGGCGGCGGCGGTTTCGGAGGTGGTGGCTTCGGCGGTGGAGCACCTTCCAGCAGCTACGGAGCACCACCCTCCAGCAGCTATGGAGCACCTAGCTCTGGTGGAGGAGGAGGTTTCGGCGGCGGGGCACCGTCCTCCAGTTACGGAGCTCCATCTCGTCCCTCTGGCAGCTACGGGGCACCATCCGTAGGACGTCCATCGTCCTCTTATGGCGCTCCTTCTAGTGGAGGCGGTGGGTTCGGCGGCGGTGGTGGTTTCGGTGGTGGCGGCAGTTTTGGCGGCGGTAAACCATCCTCATCTTATGGAGCACCGTCAAGTGGAGGCGGCAGACCATCGTCCACATACGGTGCACCTTCCGGTGGTGGTGGTGGAGGTTTCGGCGGTGGTGGTTTCGGAGGAGGGGCACCCTCCTCGAGCTATGGAGCGCCACCCTCCTCGAGCTATGGAGCACCTTCTTCGACCTACAGTGCGCCCTCCTCGAGCTATGGGGCACCGCGCGGCGGTGGCGGCGGTGGTAATGGAGGTGGATACTCTGGAGGTGGAGGCAAACCCTCGTCTACTTACGGAGCTCCTAGTTCCGGTGGCGGCGGCGGTTTTGGAGGAGGTGGATACTCTAGTGGTGGTGGAATATCTTCAACTTACGGTGCACCCTCAGGAGGTGGCGGTGGATACTCCGGTGGAGGCGGCGGAGGATACTCTGGCGGTGGTGGCGGATATTCCGGTGGTGGCGGTGGAGGATACTCTGGTGGTGGCGGCGGATATTCCGGCGGTAGCAGTTTCGGAGGGTAAGATATGATAACGCAGAATTACTCAATAAAAAAACCAAAGGCTATCTTTTTATTTTATGCAAGATACCAGCTCAATGAATTTTTTTTTCAATATCAGTTTCACATTACAGTCCTAATTATATAAACATCTTTAAGATATTGAAATTATAAAATTTAATTTGGGGTATATATTCATTTTTTATCAACTTTGTTCAATTAAAAAATTTTAGTTATAATTTCTTATTTATTCTCCATACTTCTTTTATCATTGATTTTTTTTCAATCTATCAATTAAAAGTTTTTCTCATGATTTGCTGTCGTTATCCTCAGCTCTAGTGGTTACTCCGGAGGCGGTGGTGGCGGTTATTCCGGCGGTGGTGGTGGTGGTTACTCCGGGGGTGGCGGTGGCGGTGGCAGACCATCGTCGTCTTATGGTGCTCCAAGTGGAGGTGGCGGACAGAGTTACGCCAGCAATGGAGGATATCAATACTAATCCAGATATGTGTTCACCCGGCGAGACGATCTCCGTGCTCAATCGCGTCGGCTTCCACCAAGTTTTCCGCGTTGACGCAAACCGAATCTATCGCAACCTCAAGATTCGTCAGTTCGATCGATCAACTTGATCGACTACGTGTTATCAGAAAAGAGACGTCGATCCGAAAAGCTAGTTTTAATCGAAAGATGATTGCCTTGGTGCCCTTACGAAGAGATAATCTCGGACATGATAACATTGTGAATAAAGATCAGAAAAAATCAATGCTGAAGGCATCCCGTTGTTATATCATCAAATGTGTTCTTCAACAATTACATGGATATATTTAAATTTTTCCACGGGAACATCTGTATGACAACAGCTGACGGGAGAAACGTGCGAGGATCGTTTGCCGCATCGTGAAATTCGTGCTAAAGATTTAACAGCGATGAGTTCTCGGGAAAGTTGTGAGCGAAGGAATACTCGTCCCGATGGCAGGCGCGTTCCCGTGAACGGCCGAAAGAATAAGATAGTTATTTTTTTTCCTTTCTTTAATGTTATTATCACTTTCATGTACCGGCTTCCAGGAAAGCGTCTGCTTATGGAACGTTACTTCCGTCGATGTCGAAGAAAAGCGAGGAAAAGAAAGAAGAAGAAGAAGAAAACGAAAAAAGGAAAACAAACGAGAAAACTCGATTTTCCACATTCGAAGCCTGTAACTTATTTATTTTGTAAAGACGCTTTTTTGTACTAATAATAAAGCCGCTATGCTGATAAGGAATCTCGTCAATTTATCAACTTTTTGTTCATCCCGTTTCGTTGTACTAGAAATTAATCTTTTTTTTTAGGAAATCTCCTACCTTTATTTCATGCGGTCTTTTTAATTATATAATTAATTATCTTCGTGTTGTAAGTCAATCTAAGTTAAAGACCTGAATTCCGGACTTAATCTTATCTTTTTGGTCACGCAACTAATTTCTTTTTTTCAAATAATAAAATCTTTTCGTGGTTGATTTCGTCGATTAACTACCTCAATTTTCGGAATGGTTCCCGTTTTAAGAAGAACTCTTTCTAAGTCTCTACATCCAAAGGAAGATGATCGGCGAGACGAAGAAGAGCTCGGCATAAGGTTAGTCGGCCGACACGGTCGATTTATCGATTCTCATGGCTCGGATATCGGGAGGGCATGAATAACTAAGAATTCTCTTTCTATTCCTGCTGTCAAGCGTCTAAAAGCGCATATTGATATCGAAGACTTTGCGAATGTGATGGCGCGAATCCTGCCTCGTAATCATGTTGTTGATCAACAAAACTGAAATGTGCGATGGCCATTACAAAGCTCTTAGGTTAGTAGTCGTTGATTCTTATTTTAAGATCATTTTAAGTAATATTTTAAGATGTTGATACAACTCTGTGGCCAGGATTCATAGTCCGTCTTTATTTCAAGACAATATCTTAAGTAATGTCTTAAAATATTAATACGGCTCTGTGTTGGTTCATGATATCTTAAGCCTGTACTTAAGACGATCTTAAATATAACAATCGACTATAAATACCTTAGCCATTGAAAAATTAAGATCTCAAAGTTTCTTCTGGATGTGATCTATAAATTTTAAAATATCGTTGGATCTTCTCGTTTTATCCATGTAACACGTAGTATTATTAATATTTAATGTTACGTTGCATCTTCAGAGGTGAGAAACGTAAATATAATAAAAAACGTACAGTTCGGTACGCATACAGTAAAAGTAAATAAGTCAATATAACAATTTTACCGAAAGAACTTTCTAATCAGTTCGTTTAAATGAACATGCAGTTATGTACGAAATTATGTTATAAGCCACGTTGACGAATTGACACAAGTACCGCTCACTGATTCCTCCAAATTTTATTTTTTCCACTCCTTTTAAAAATTTAACTCTTTGCACAACTTAGGTGTATATAATTCTCAACCCTCTTGAAATATCAGAGTTCATGGTCTTTTAAAGGATGCAAAGGTTAGCGTCGGATTGGATATTCAAGACTCAGAAGGGATTCAACTATGTGTTCTTTGAAGTTTATACAACGATCTTATCATATTTAAGTTGCTAATCCGTTAAGTTGCTAATCGTTTGCGAATTTATAGTTCCGAAGAAATTCACGTTTTCTCAAGTATTCCTTGTTGGAGCTTGTCTTACCTGCTATTACGTTATTTTTTCAAAACATTAAATGTTGCTTGCCAGTGTTTTCAAGGTAAATAAATCAACTCTGCCTTGGGTCATATTTAGAGAAGGAATAGTATAGGAGGTACTTCAAAAGCTATATCTTTTAGTTCTCGACTACACGAACATCTCGAAATTATATGGAAACCGCACATTGCTACGTTAAATATGAGTCGCCCGACATTTTTGTACACCGTTTATTTTTAACATTTACAATCAACATCTCTTTCGTTTGTCAATTATACACGTATAATGTCATATAATACAATAACGCTTCTGCAATACATATACATGGATATACTCCTCCGGGCGAGATGGGGAGGAAAGGGAGAGGGTGAATCAGGGGACGCTTTGCTTTTTACACGTTTAATAAGTTATTCTACGTAATTAGGTAAGTCATCCCGTGCGTTTGGGATGCGCAACATTAAGTACGCCATTTTGGTCTCCAAGCGGGAAAGTGAACGACGATTTCGGTTTTATTGAAGGATCGTATTCGCTAATTCTTATTCGAGCCTCGACTTCGCATTTTCGTATTCGCATGACACAGATTGGCTGTCGACTCGCGATTTTATAATACTTTGCAACGAAACAACGTCATTCTGCGGGAAGTGATAGATCCTTGGATGCACGAGCTTCTTGAGAAATTGATAAAATTCATTCCCTTTCCCTTTGAATAAAAAAAAATTCAGAGATAAGAATAAAATAATTTTGCAAATAGCTGGAATGTATAAAAAAGATGATGATTGAAATTATAACTTGTATTCATAATTATGAAGATTCTTTATGTCGACAAGAAGAAACACACAGTGATTCCAAAAAAACTTTGTTTTACTTCAGTCATTTATATTGCAATTCTAAAAAATATTTATTTTAAATACTCTACAAGATTCTTAACAAGATTTTCAAAATTCTTTCTCTTAAGAGTTTCTCGGCATGAAGCTACGCGCATAAAGACATCAACAAGGACACTCGTGGTAGTAGAATAAGCACAAGTATCTCCTTTCACCCCAAGAACGACGAGCGTTTTCATCCTAAAGGATATATATTATATATACATAGTCTTATTTTATTATTTCCTCCTCTTCGCGACTAATTATCTAATATACAATAGAGCACACTTTATGATATGTATAGGTTTGTCGTTGCGTCGCCGATTACAACGTACGTTGATTGATATGTAAATGATACGTGGCCGTCTTATGAGAGCATTCTCATAAGCTATTATATAATGTCTACTAGTTTCTCCCACATTCTTGACACACGATTCCTCCACCTGTTCTAAATTCGTACAAAAGAAACGATAAGAGATCAACCTCGAAGCACAAATATCTATATCGAGACAAACGAATTTATTATAACGCTCCATCGAAACGAAGTGTAGATGAATGATCGATAATTATTAAAATCCATAATTTCTCTCTCTCTCTTAGTTTCTTGAGTGTATAAATATAAAGAACACATAAAAATGTAAGAGATAAAACTCAGGAAACCAAGAAATCAAAGACTTACATTCCAAATTTATAATGTAATATTAATTAAATATTCCCATTTAAGAATTTGAAGATTCGTCCCATGGACGTCAACAATTAGACTAATTCTATAATGTGCTTTTTGTTTTCTGTTTCTTACTGTTTGTCTCTTGTCTTATTGATCAAAAAGGCAAGAAACAATACAGATAAATAGCAAGAAATAGGTAACAAGGAGTATATTGTAGAATTAGCCTTAAATTCTACGACCAGGACGAAGTAAAACGATTAAAATCCTCGATCATTAAAGTCCTCCTTATCATCGTTCGTTTTGTAAATCGAAAAATGGAGATATGTAAATCTCGTATTTCAAAATATTGGAGTTCTAAACTGTGATACTTTGAAACGAGTCAAGACGATTATCTCTTGACTCCGAACTCGCCAGAAAATTCACGAATGATTGAAAAGGGAAACGCGCTGCGTAGAAAAATAATTCGCGATACTTATGTTCATGATACTTTCGTATTCTTGGCGCGAGAAGCGAGAGACGGCGGTCTTCGCACGCGGTTCATTGTAGCGCGATACTTTCGTGCTTCGATAGGAATATAATAAGGATAATAATTTCATCGCGCGCGCGCATCTTCACGAGCTTGTCGTCCACGAGCGTCACGGATTAGCCAGCCGGCGTGCTCGTCATCGTCTCTAATATCCGAGTGAAAGTACCTGGAGCTTAACGACGGATGGACGAACGGAAGTGCACGGGAGATGCATGCTGCACAGCGAGATCCACGAGTATCTCTTTCTCTCCTTCAAGATCTCGTATCGCATAGCGAGCTCCGTTCCTCACGTTTCGAATCACGCTGTCGCGCACGCTCGTAATTTCACCTCCGTACAGCATCTCCGACTTAACGAGCGGATAATACGACGACGCGCGGCGGAAAATGGCTAGGCCACTTCCGACAAATCGCCGGAGATCCGTGAAACCCCCTTCTCTTCTAAGATATTTTCAATTCTGCTGGAGAACACCGCGGAAGAAGAGGTTCGTGAACGAAGAGACGTGCGTGTTCTTGAATGCAAAACGAAGTGCCAAGCGATTTGAACGAGTTACTCGGAAAGAAATTCGATCATAAACAATTTCCGGAAAGTGAAAAGAAAATATGAACACGTTTATATACAGGATGTCCCAAAATTCGTGACTCAAAATACTAGAAAAAAAGTTTTCGGAAAATTAAGTAAAAAAGTTATTTGTAAATTTTTATTTTAAATAACAGTTTCTATATAAAAATTTAAATATGTCAATTACTGTGTGTATTGGATGTGTTATTGTACTATGGGTGTGATAATATATTTAAGACAGATAAGATTAAAGAGCAATAATAAAGGTAGAAAGAAAGACAGAAGTAATAAACAATTTAAAATAGGA